TAGAATACTATTCTAATAATGCAATTAATAATATTGGATGGATGAATACAGTTGTAGATATCATACCGGAATTATATGAGGAAAAAGATGTTGAGGAGGAGGAAAAAGATGTTGAGGAGGAGGAAAAAGATGTTGGGGAGGAGGAAAAAGATAATAAGAGTAGTAAAGAGAAGTTATTTAATCATCGTGCTTTTATAGCAAACCATTGGATCTATTTTCTTTTGAAATTCTTGAAATTTTACCGGCAACAGATGGTTTGTTAAGGGTTTTTATACCTATAACACAGTTAATTCCACAAGATTCTTGGTTGAACCTAAAATTTATCAAGTATGAAAATAACAATTTATATTAAGTCTGTTGTTATTTTACTATTATTCATTTTACTTAAAATTGTTACAGTTTTGGTGAAATTGTTAATATTCGAATGGTACCTTTACCAAATTTTACAACAACAAAAAAATAATATCAGATGTATCGTTTGTAAGAGATAGAAGACGTATATTTCGGAACTTAGAATTTTTTCCTACTTTTAAAAGGCAGAATTACGAGGATTCCAGTCCTTTCATTAAAATAATAAAAAAAATCGATTTCGATGTTTTATGTGAAAATCCATCCATGGGTGCAGTCATGAATTGGATGTGGTATTCTTCGAAAATCTATTGGTTTGGAACCCTGATTTTTTTTGTCTTATACTTTATAACCTATTCAATTTTTTCTTGGGCATATATTGCTCATGTTCAAATAACTGGTGTGATTTCACATATTCTGATGTTTATGGTCATAATGTTATTATTTTATTTAACAATATATCATATAATGATTGAAATTAACCAACATAATTCCTATGAAAATAAGCTTGAATATTTTTCAAATGGTTTTAATATATTAGATATTTTATCAATTATTATTTCGACATTTGTTGTTAGCTATATTTTTATTCGTTATTATACATTTGAGGACGGATTTAAAAACGCTGAAAGCAGTCAAAGCTTTAAATTTATTATTTTTTTAAGCATCTTAGCTTTTTGGAGCAAGTTTGTAAGTATATACTTATTATTAATGTCGTTGCTGATGCTGAAAATGGCAGATATTATATACTCTTTTATTAACAAAATTAACCTTAAATCCTAACCGTAAAAAAAAGTTGTTTATAAAATGTTAAAATTTCACGTCAAAAAAGTCAAATTTCAGCATTAGCATCAGCTGCAATATTTAATTTTGTATTATTTCAAATTCTTTTGTTTTTCTGTCTTTTAACTATTAATTTTACGTTATACTATCAGTTTTTACTATTGCGTATACATGAAGGTATAGTATGTATTTATTTATAATTTATATTTACTGTTGATTGTCTAAATTTACATGTATAATTATTATTCAAAACTTAGGTTTTGCGCAGAACCTTAATATACTCTACAATATTATTATTAAAATAAAGCAATTTTTATTTTTTTTTATTCTAACTATCGTTGCAATGGTAATAATAATCTTTAGATGAATATTTAAATTTTAAATTTTTATTCATATTAATACAATATTTACACTTTAACCATTACACTGTATTATTAGGGACATGCATTGTAAGTTTTATGTTTAAAATTTATTTGTTCACAACATTTTAATTGCGAAATTTTGAAATAAGATCAATTACATACATCTAGATTTATTTTACTTGGCTATTCGTACAATGATCCAACGATTGGAGAATCTGATAATCAATTTTCAAATATCATTGGTGCTATCCTTGCGGTATATGATTGGTCGTCAATTTCATTCGATTCTTGGAATTTTTGGCCACTTACTATAGTTAGCGTTATTGGCAGTTTTATTTTTGTGTTGGTATTGCAAAATGTAATCATTTCATACATGGGGTATGTTTTTAATATCATAGTTTATTTATTTTTATTCTTAATTTTCACTAAACTCTGTTTTTTTTAAATAAAGTGCTGCTTTTTCTGATGCTGTTGAAAATAGTAAACGTGGTGTATATGGCTTTCAAATTGAATTGATTTATGATTTTGCTCTTCTTAAATCATTAGAACTTAATAATTTGGATTATAAGTTCAATGATAAATTAAGAGCAAAATACATTTGTTTTTATGATGATCCATCTATCACGAGTTCATGGAAAAAAAAAATCAGAAGATATGAAACCAAATCCATTTTTTGAAAAAAAAATAAAGCCTGAAGGTGGATATGATAATTTGTCAATCGAAAACTGTAAATTTATTTGGGAACCAGCAAATGAGAAGGAAAATGATTTTTGATCCATTGAAGATTGAAATTCTATTTTAGAAAAAAGCAAAGGGCTATTGTAACAGCTGGCAATCACTATTTTATATCGGCTGTATAATTTAAAAACTTTTTTTTTAATAAAATAGTATTGGTATTTAAAATAATTTTTTATTTGTCTAACCAGTTGGGCTAAAATGCTGCGCCAATGTCAAATATAAACTCGACTTAAGAATAGTACTTAACCGTCAAATTGTAATTTGAATAACTCTGGTTATGATTCGGATCATGTAATTTTTAACTCTTGAATCAAGAATATATTACATAGTTATTATGTGTTGATAAGTTTGCCTTTGCAGATTAGAATATGAAATATATTTGGCTCTTATAAATAATAATGTTTTGGTATTAGTAATGCTGTACTAATATTTTATCTGATATTACCTTTAAGCATTAAAATGCATAAAATAAATCCGTTTTCGAATCTAATAAAGTTTTTTTGTGTGAGAATTACACAATTGGAATTAACTGCATATGTATACGTATTACACTCCTAATCGTTGGTAACAAAATAAATGCCATATATTCTTATTAGTAGATACTCTATAATGAGATTCGCAAGCAAGCTTGCCATCACACCATGCAATTGATTTTATATCTATTGCATTCTAACAACATAATGATTTATTGATGGTTCTGTGTCCTAGTGTTCACCCAACTCGTTATTTAAATTGATAGCATTTATTTGCGATTTTAGTTATTGACAACGATAGATCTTTAAAAATAACATGTACAGTACTATAAGTCGTATAATTTGATTAGAATTATAGGTATAATATTTGTGTTCTCTTTAATATCTAAGGGAGGGTATCCTCATTAATTTTCCTTATCTTTATAATTTAAACAAGATATGCAATTTAATAAATCTCCAAATTATTTTTCGTGTTTGTTCAATGATATTATCGAATTCTTTTTTTT